CGGACTCTCTGTGTCTCAGGTATGACCGCAGCGGCAGTCGCCACCGCGACCCTGCCGCCGCTGCGGCGGTTGCTGGCAAGCGCTCAGATGTGTCTCCTTGCCTTGGCTTCCCCTCTCTTGACTACCTCTCTGTCCTGTGATGGCACACTTGGTATGATTCTCTGGCTTAGGACTGTTCACTGGAACTCTAAAACTGCTTTCTATTTGAGAGCTTGTTCAGATTCCAGCTTCTCCTCTGCCATCTTCCCGGAACTCTCGAGTATGTTCTTCTAAATTCCTGTTTAGAAACTCTCAGCAAAGGGGCTCAAAATAAAGACCATCTGGCGAGCCCAGCAAACTAGGGTGAAATGTCCACCAATCACGAGCCTGTAACTATGTGGACTCCCCCCAGGGAAGCCTCCCCCTAGAGAGCCAACTAGTTTTCAACAAGTGTTACAAAACTTCCCGCGCAGAGCTGAGCCAATCCTGGGGAGCCTGGGGTCTTATGCTAATCCTGTGGTTTTTTGTCTTTAAAAAATGCCTGTAACCGCTGCTCCGGGCTTCCAGTCGGCCTTGGACAGGGAGCCCGTTTGCGCAAACGCCTAATAAAATCCTCTTGCTTGTTGCATCTGCTGGTTTGGAGTCTTGGTTCTTGGGGTGCCCTCCCGTTGAAGAAAGCATCCCAGTGAGTCTGGGGTCTTTCACAGTGCTGCTCTTCTTCAGCATTCCAAACATTCTGGGTGACCACAGGGTGCCAACAGCCTATCTGAAAACAGGCTTTATGAAAAAGATAATTGTCTGTCTTCCCCTTCTCTCAAGGTTCTACTGTATGGTAAACCTGAACTAACAGGATGTTTCTTGCAGGGAGTATAATTCAATTCTTTCATAATGCCTGTTTAAAAGGTGCCCAATGAGAACAGAAGCTGCATAAACAAATAGCAGGGCTCTATCAGCATGATATATTCTGTTGAAACCTAGCCCCTCCCCCCCAAATGTCTTTCTCAAACTGGAAAAAAAAACAGTTGTGATTCTACCTTCTCATATAGCTGGAAGTAACAAAGTTAGAAGAAACCTTCAAAAACCATTCTCATTTGACAATTCTAGGGAGAAAAACATGTAGCCTCTGAATTAAAAGCCAGAAATAAGAAATGTAGGAAAGGAGTATATTTATGATGACAGATTGATGGACGAGAACAGGAAATATAAGAAAGGTGAGCTATTTGTCTTGGAGACTAAGTTTGAGTCATAGGGAAAAGGAGCTGAAACCATCAAATAAAAATCTGTGTCTGTAGCATGGAATTATGGTAAGCTGTTTAGAAGTTCACAGGTCTGCACAGTCAATATTGAATATCAGCTCTGCTACTTAGCATCTGTGTGATAGTGGGCAAGCAATTCAGTCCCTCTGCACCTCAATGCTCTCATCTGTACAATGGGGATTGATTTAATAGAATACATCTACACAATGCTTATGATCTCGCAAAGTGCCCTAGAACTTAACCTCGCACAATTGAGAACAAATTAGCAGGACACTAGTGGCACACCCCTGTAACTTTAGCTACTCAGGAGGATGAGATCTGAGGATTGTGGTTCAAGGCCAGCCCTGGCAGGAAAGTCTGTAAGACTCTTATCTCCAATTAAGCACCAAAAAACTGGAAGTAGAGCTGTGGCTCATGTGGCAGGGCATTAGCCTTGAGCAAAAAAGCTCAGGGACAAAGCCCAAGCCCTGAGTTCAAGCCCCAGGACTCACTCTCTCTCAGTTTCTCCCCCCACTCTCAACACCTCCCACCCAGAACACATTAAGTAAGTACTAATCATTATTGAAGAAATTAGAATTATGGCCAGGTGCTGGTGGCTCATACCTGTAATTCTAGCTACTCAGGAAGCTGAGATTTGAGGACTGCACTTCAAAACCAGCCCAGACAACAAAGTCCACCGGAAAACCAGAAGTGGTGCTGTGGCTCAAAGTGGTATAGCATCTGCCTTGAACAAAAAGAATTCAAGGACAGCACCCAGGCCCTGAGCTCAAGCTCCCAACCACCACCACCACCAACAATAACAACAACAAAAAGAAATTAGAATTACACTTCATTTTGTCATCAACTAAAACAAGTTGATTTTATTCACTTATCTAGTATTTATTGTATATCTATCAGCCAACAAGATCCTTTTTCTCAAGGTGCTTACATGTTGTGTGTTGCGGGGATGGGGAGAATGGAGAAAGAAGGAAAAGGGAAATGATACTGAACTAAACACATAAAAGTTGTATTAGGTGATATTCATGAGGCAAATAAAGCAAAGGAGGGGAATAGGAAGTTCTGGGGGGAGTGGTATGAGGGAAGAACATTCAGAGACAAGAAATCAAAGTCTTGAGGCTGAGGAATGCTTAATGTGTTCCATTACAGTGAGGTCAATATGGCTGGAGGGAGAGAAGGATGAGGTAAAATTGTATATTGTGAAGCCAGAGGGGACCAGGTTGAGGTGTCTGGTTGGGTCCTGGAAATAAGTTTGGCTGTTGATCTAGGATGCAAAGCCACTAGACATTTTGAGATAGGGAAAGACACAACCTCTGTTTTAAAAATTCATTCAGACCACTGTATGTGTGTGGTGGTAGTAGGGGGAAGTAGAAAGATCAGGTAGGATGCTATTATTAAGACACCATGATCGCTTGTACTGGAATTTAAGCAGTGGGGAAGAAGGGGACTGGGAAGAACTAGACACTTTCAGGAGATAGTTTTTGACAGCACAGTGAACAGAAATGGTTGATGAATTGGATGGTGAGTGTACTGCTGAGAAGGATCAGGGAAAGGGAAGTTCTGTAAGAATGATTTTTTTCTCCTTTATTCAATAGAATATCCCAAAACTCAGTAAATAAATAAGTGTCTGGTAATGAACAGATTCCTTGAATAAATGTAAAGGGTATCTCTGATTTGTATTATTCTTTTTGTGAACTTAGTAAATAGTGGTTAAAATATTTACAGACAAATGAAGTACTGTTGCAACCACAGTTCGAGCAAAGCAGTAAAATTTCTCCTGATAGAAGCTGATATTACTGCATCCTTGTTCCCAACTGACTAAAAAATCAACCGGAGACTGCCTGTAACGGAGGAGTACTTTGTTATAAAACATTTATTGTGAACAAACACAAACCAACAGTATATGGGAGAATATATACAATAATACTTTGGAGAAAAGCCTAAGAAATGAGAGGCTGGAGTCGTAGTTTAGTGGAAGAATGAATATGTTTGCTTACTTAGCCCTGAATTCAATCTAGAAAGGTTGCAAAACACATGGAAGGTTCCAACATTTTTGTATTCTTGAAACACCATCAGTAAAATGAGAATAGTGATATGCAGAGAATGAGTGAGGAAAGACTAACTATGCACACATTTAAGGCAGTTTATGAAATGCTCTATTTGGTCATACCCTCAATATTTAGAAGTATGACACATTCTATGCCTTATTTTTCTACTACCGTATCTACTAATACACTACACCAGGTGATAGACATAGGTGGCAATATACCTGATCAACCTAGAATACAACTACTTCTAATGCTCCAATATATAGACTTTAAGGGTAAAGAGGACCTGTTGACACGAGTTATACCTAGAAGTGACCCACAATACTGTTCCATTTTCCCTCAGTGATGATTTATAGAGGCTAAACACCAATACTTGCTTTTGGCAATTTTCTAGTAGAAAATTAGAACAGATGTTCAGTTCTAAAAATCCGTATGGTTCTTGCTCCAGTCTTCTGGGTGGGAGTCTTGCTACACTGAATTTCTTGAGTTCCTGCAGGACATGGTGGGCTTGGGACCCCTGGCAGGCTGGTTTTCCTCACCTGATTATGTATCCAACTAGATTATGTCCAAGTGACTTAGATTATTCTAGGTCTGTCCCTCTCCTTGGGATGGGTGTTGGGGGTGGTGGTGGTGTCGATCTTCAGTCATGTCTGGTCAGGACAATCTTCTCACAGAGCTCTGCAGAGCAGAAGTTTAGGAACAGTGATCACACTCAAGGGGGCAAACAGGTGCAAGTGAGGGAAATTTCATGGAATTGAGAAAGCATACTTTTTTTTTTTTTTTTTTTTTTAAATACTGGCTATTTAGGGGAGGGTACAGGAGAACTTAAGGCTCCTTCAGACCATCCGCAGTCCAGCTAGGGTTCCCAACCCGTTCAACTGGGCCCGGTACCCCTGACTCCCCATCCCTTTGGACACCCCAAAATCGCAAGGCTCGGAGGCCTGGGCATTCTGGTTCAGAGCACATCCAAAAAGCAGGGCCACCTGGGTGGCTGCAGAGTCGGGGTGGGGTCAGGCTTAACCTGGGCCAACTCTTGCCCAGGCCCAGGTGAAGTTTCCCTTCCTCTGGGGCCCGTGGGCACCACGCGGCTGGGAGTCGGGTTTGAGGTGTGGGCCGGGACTTCTGAGGCGAGTTGAAGTCCGGGGGGGGGGGGGGGGGGGGGGGGGGTGCCGTGGATTGGGGGCACAAGGCCTCCCCCACCCCCCCCCAATCCCTTCACCATTCTTGGGCCATCTCCCACCCCCTAGCCTTCAGTGTGTCCCTTTAATGCGCGCGCCCTTCAAGGTCCCCGCGTCCCCTCCCCTCCAACTGCCCCTTCAGCCTAGACTCCCCCCCAACTCCCCCCACCTCTCGCCGTCCCTGTAGCTCCTTCCCGGCTTGATGCCCCTCACCCCCCATGCTCCGCGGCCCGGCCAGAGCACGGGACTCAGCTGTCACTTTACTTTTCTGTCCGTCCCCTCCCCCTCCCTCCCTCCCCACCGCTTCCCCTCCCCCTTCTTCCCCCCACCCCCCGCAGGCCCCGCGGGGCAGCCGCTCGTGCGCGCGCCCGCCCCCGCCCCCTCGCGGCCGCGCGCCGGGGGAGGAGGGGCGAAGAGGCGGGAGGGTGGAGCGCGCGGCGCCGCATGGCCGAGGTGGGGCTCGCGCTCTCGCGGTCTCTCCCGGGCGGGCGGGCACGCGGGCACGCGTACGGGCGGGCGCGCGCACGGGCGGCCGGGCGGCGTTGGCTCCCGGTGGCTTCACTTTCCAGGACTGAGGGGCGGCCAGAGCCGCAGCCGCGGGCAGCAGCCTCGAGAGCCGGAGCTGGAAAGGCCGGGGGCGGCGGTGAGTCCGGGGGCGGGCGCGAGCGCGGCGGGGGAACAGGCGTGGCCGGGCGGTCGGGTGCGTGGTGCGTGGGTCCGGCTCCCGGTGACTCGACGGTGTTGCGGGGGACACCCGGTCCCCGGGGGGGGGGGTCCCCTCCCCGCCCCCCTCCCCCGCGTCCTCGGGCTTTGGCGGGCGCCCGCGACCTGCGCCTACACCCCTCCCTCAGGTACGGGCGCGGGCCGCGCCGGTGTCCCCGCCGCTCCGCGGGCGGGCGGGCTCCCCTCCCCCCGCCCCGCCCGCCCCCTCCCCCCACGCCGCGGGGCTCTGCTCGCCCGGCTCGCGCCCTACTTCTCGCCCGCGCTGCCCCGCGCCCCCTCCGGAGAGCCGCCTGCCCGGATTCTCGCCCTTTCCACCCCTCCCCCTCCTCCCCATCCTCACCCCCCTCCCCAGCCGCGTCCCTCCCGGCCCTTCTTGCCCCCCCCCCCTCCCCCGCGGTTCTCGGCTCCCCATCCTCCGCCACCCTCCCGGCCCCTTCCCTCCTCCAGCCGCATCCTGGAACTAAGTCTTTGCAAAAAAAAAAAAAAAAAGAAAAAGGAAAAAGTACCGGCTGCGTGTCTGGGTGGAAAGTGCTGGCTCGAGCCCGGCCGTCCCCGGCGGCGGTCGCCGCGCCCCGGGTCCCTCCCGCCCGGCCCCGGCCCGTCCCGCCCCGCCGGCCCTTGGGAGCCCCGTCGGGAGGAGACCTGGGCGGGGGGCGTCTTTCTCGGAGCCCTCAAGGGGGACGTGTGTTGTCTTCTTGGTCTTTTGTGAGGATGCCCGGTGCTGGTCACAGTTGGGATCCCGAGCCCATTTTTTTTTTTCCTCTGGTTTTTTCTCTGCAGCCCCCACTGGCCTGATTTGAAACTAGATTCCCCCCCCCCCTCCATCACCCCTTCTCCTTTCTTCCCCGCCCCCCCCCCTCTTCTCCCACTCATCATGTTTGCATTCTCTTGCCCTTGATTACTTTTAATGAAGATAAAGCATGGTCTCTTGTGGGGCTCCCCACTACCACCACCCCCTCCCACTAACCAGAAGTGCCCCATCCATCTTCCCTAAAGGAAATTAAGGCCCCTTTAGGAAGACATCATCCTGTGCTTTCTAGCTGTTAGACACCTTTGCAATGTTTTTTTTAAAGATCCATCGCTTTTTTTTTTTTTAATTGTGTGTTCTTGAGCGTCTCCTCAGATATTTTTAAAAGTGCAGAAAGAAATCCAAGGGCTCACCCTCTCACCATCTCAGTGTTCCCCCAGATTTTAAGCGCTTCTGAGTTTTTAATCCCTGAGTATTTGAACAGTACAGGTCTGAAGAGGTGATCATGGGTCTGGATACTGGGAATCTTAAGTATTTGTCCTTATTCAGAACAATTTGGATGCTCCTTGTGCTTTGGGGTTTCATGTGTCCACAGATGAGGAAGATGGAGTGTTTTCATATATAACAACCTTGTTCTGTCTCCCCTAGGATGCAGTATATTTTCCCCAAAATCAGGTGTTGTGTTAAAGGTTTCCTGTATAAATATCCTTAAGTTAACTGCTGGGTATTACTAGGTGTTGTGCATATAATATAAATCATTTTATTTTACATTTTAGAAAAGTTTGGAAATGGGAATAGGAAGACTTGCAAGACATAGGTGACAGAATTAAATGTTTTCTTTCAGTAAAAGTGCATATAAACGGTTGTTTTGTGGTTTCTAAGCTGCAAGACATGATTATAAAGCTTACTTTTATATAGGGCTTATGGAGGGAATATCGTTTTTGTGTTGTTGACAGTATTTGTAGCCAGACCACTTCGTCTGTATGGAAGGTGTGCCTTTCATTCATATATGTAGCTAATTTCTAAGGACTGTAGTTTCAACAGAGAAGTAATCAAGCTTAGGCAATTTATGAGTTGAAGATGTAAGTTTACAATATGTAAACTCTTTAAAATATAACATACATTATGAAAATCTACTGCTTAATGTTTCAGTGAGTATGAGTTAAAAATTTTATCGATCTATTTACCTTATCTTTGAAACTGCCATAGGAGAGTAATTATAATCCTGGAGTTTGTCTTCCTTCTAGATTTCATAATTGGATCAGACAAGCTTTTTGGGAATCAATTTTAAAATACTAATTCAGAAAATGATAAAAAATTTTAATGTAGGAGGTTTTACTTTAAAGAATTTGTAATTTAAAGAAACAAGCTACCACATTTAAAAGTGGAATGTTTTTCATTAAAAAATTGAAATATATTTGGACTTTTAAAGCCAGACATGAAGCATACTGATATAAATGTCAGTATTCTATTAAGTGACTTTAGTGCTCATAAAAGATGTCATAGCTGTGGAGACTGATGGTCTCCATTTACAGAATAAGTAGAGACAGTAGTCAAATTTTCTATCAGTGTGTTTCAGAGCAGTTTGTGCAGACTTATTTTTCTTTGGCATGATGGAAGAAAGCTCTCGGTTGAGAGTGGTAATCTGTGGTGTCTAAAGGCATTTAGTATTTTCTTCTGGTGATTCTATGACATACTAATACATCAAAGATTATTGTACCATATTTACAAAGCAGCATTTTGAATTTATCATTTTTGAAAAAGACAAGTACCAATCACTCAATGGCCAAGTTTTATTTTAAAAAGAATGCAGCCAGAAGCCAGTGGCTCATGCCTGTAATCCTACTCAGGAGACTATGATTTTAGGATTGCAACCTGAAGCTAGTCAGAACAAGAAACTCTATAAGACTCTTATCTTCAATTAACCAGCAAAAAGCTAGAAGTGGAGCTGTCTCAAGTGGTAGAGTACTAATCTCAAGCAAAAAAAAGCAGAGAAATAGTACCCAGGCCCTGAGTTCAAGTGCTAAAAAATATATACATATGTGTGTGTATAAGTATAAAATAAGTGCATTAAAAAATGCTCTTAAAAGAGCATTACAAATGTAGGAGAGAATGTAGAAATGACCAATACTGGTCATACAAATACTGATTATTCTAGAAATGAAATTTACAATAAAAAGGACATGGTCTTTAGATGGATGATTGTCAAAAATAAGTGTAACAACACATCTGGTAAGGATAAGCCCTCGAGAAACATGTAGAAAAGTTGGGTAATACCTACCAATATTGCAAGTGAATCTCCCATGTGATCTAAGCATTGAACTTGTAGAGGTACTCAAGGTAGTATACACCAAGAAAGCATCTTGTTATCTGTGTTTTTGTTGGCCCACACATTCCCACGTGCAATAGGAGAAATAGTAAGTGATTAGGAAGCTATAGCTTTCAATATGTGGAAGTTGTAAGGAACTCATTAACTATGTTGAGATACAAAGAGATCAAAACAAAATGCAGAATAACTATGGTTGGACAGTAGACTGTGAAACTGTCACACCAGCATAGTGAGAAGTACAGTAGGTGCTGAGGATAGTGCTCCTCCACCACTCAGACACCAGCAGGTAGCAGACAGAAAAGCAGGACAGCAGGCATCTCCTGAAGACAGTTTGACACAATACAAAATCATCTTGCCAAGAACATGAAACCTGGATGTGGTTATGTGTTTGAACGAAACCGAGGGACATCAAATCCCAGACTATGGGAAAGTACAGAAGGGATGGCATGATTCCCAGAGAAAGAGCTAGAAAATAACTGAGAGAAGGCACGTAATTTCAAAGATGCTTAAATGATATACCAACCAATTTCAAATATTGGGCCTTAAATAGATCCTGAATTTAGCAAACTGTACAGTACTTGTTAATAAACAGAGGAAAGTAAAATTGGATTGTTATAACAGGAAATCATATTTTAATTCTGATTGCAGTAAATACAGCATTGTTATATAGGGGTCTTTGTTGTGTTTTGTGTGTGTGTGTGTGTGTGTGTGTGTGTGTGTGTGTGTGTGTGTGTTGTGTCAGTTGTGGGGCCTGAACTCTGGGCCTGGGCGCTGTCCCTCAGCTCTTCAGCTCAAGGCTAGTGCTCTACCACTTGGGCCACAGCACCACTTCCACCCTTTTTTGCTTTTCTGGTGCAGAGGAATTGAACCCAGGGCCTCATGCATGCAAGGCAAGCACTCTACTACTGAGCCACCTTCCCAGCTCTCTGTAGGTTTTTTATTTGCTTTCTTTTTGCAGTGCTGGAGCTTCATATGTGCTATATAAGTGCTCTACCACTAAGTTCAGTTCTAAAGTGTTTTTAAAAGTCTTTGTCATTTCTTGGAATACATTTCAAAGGAACTTTTTCATTTCAAGTGAACTCCAAGATATGGAAACAAGAGTTTTTATTTTGTTGTTTTCTGTTTGTTTTTTAATGTATTGTGTGAAGTTCTTTATTCACTTTTTTTTCCTTTGATTTATCCTCTGTCTCTGAGCCTCTTTGTGCTCTACTCCTTACGCCACAGTGCCACTTTCAGTTTTTGAGTGGTTAATTGGAGATAACAGTCTCACAGGGAGATTTCTGCCTGACCTGACTTTGAACCATGATCCTCAGATCTCAGCCTCCTGAGTAGCTTCACTGAGGTTTTTGATGTTGTTGTTTGTTTCTTGTTTTTTTTGTGCTAGTACTAGGGCTTCTAGACACTGTCCTTTACCTTTTATACTCAAAGCTGGAGCTCTAGCACTTAAGTCACAGTTCCACTTCCAACTTTTTGGTAGTTAATTGGAAATAAGAGTCTCACAGACTTTCCTTCCAAAGTTAGCATCAAACTGCAATCCTCAGATTTCAGCCTCCTTAGTAACTAGGATTACAGGGATGAGCCACTGATGCTTGCCTCTCAACGTTCTTGTATCCAGCCATTAGCAAAGTGGATCGCACCAATCCAAGGCTTCAAGTACTTGTCTCTTGAGTTGCTAAATAAACTGAAAGATACTTACAGCTGATATCAAAACAGCATGTATCGGCACAGCATGGTATTTACAATAGCAGCAGGAAACCTGGATTCATAAGTAGAGAGTGTTTATGATTATTAGAGTTCCAGGACAAAACATGGAATTCAACACCAACTTTATACTACCAAGCAG